AGGTAGACTCAGGATTATTACAAACAATCATAAAGCTATCCCGCGTCGGCGTCTGGCAGGGTTGTTGGAACAAGAACCGTGAGGGGGCTCCGCCTTTAGGAGACGGTTCAGAATGAGGGAGGGGGGGGAGGGAGGAGAGTCGGGAGACGCGGAGACGCCCCCAGGGCAGGGTGCAGCTGGCGGGGGATGAGCGACCTTGGACCCCGCCGTGGCGATCAGACAAGACCGAGGCTCCGCCCCGCCTCGGTCTCCACCTACTAGGCCTCATAAAGATAAAGGCGCCGGCAAGGTAGCCTCTGGCTGGGCTGTAGGGGCAAGTGCTGTTACACACAGACACAGCTGCAGACAAAGCTCCCCCAGGTAGCCTCTAGCAGGGCTGTAGGGGCAAGTGCTGTTACACACAGACACAGACAAAGCCCCCCCAGGTAGCCTCTAGCAGGGCTGTAGGGGCAAGTGCTGTTACACACAGACACAGCTGCAGACAAAGCTCCCCCAGGTAGCCTCTAGCAGGGCTGCAGGGGCAAGTGCTGTTACTCACAGACACAAACAAAGCTACCCCAGGTAGCCTCTAGCAGGGCTGTAGGGGCAAGTGCTGTTACACAGGCAAAGCTCCCCCAGGTAGCTTCTAGCAGGGCTGTAGGGGCAAGTGCTATTACACAGACACAGACAAAGCTCCCCCAGGTAGCCTCTGGCTGGGCTGTAGGGGCAAGTGCTGTGACACACAGACACAGACAAAGCTACCCCAGGTAGCCTCTACCAGGGCTGTAGGGGCAAGTGCTGTTACACACAAAGCTACCCCAGGTAGCCTCTAGCAGGGCTGTAGGGGCAAGTGCTGTTACACAGACAAAGCTCCCCCAGGTAGCCTCTGGCTGGGCTGCAGGGGCAAGTGCTGTTACACACAGACACAGACAAAGCTCCCCCAGGTAGCCTCTGGCTGGGCTGCAGGGGCAAGTGCTGTTACACACAGACACAGACAAAGCTCCCCCAGGTAGCCTCCGGCTGGGCTGTAGGGGCAAGTGCTGTTACACAGTCAAAGATCCCCCAGGTAGCCTCTAGCAGGGCTGTAGGGGCAAGTGCTGTTACACACAGACACAGACAAAGCTACCCCAGGTAGACTCTAGCAGGGCTGTAGGGGCAAGTGCTGTTACACACAGACACAGACAAAGCTGCCCCAGGTAGCCTCTAGCAGGGCTGTAGGGGCAAGTGCTGCTACACACACACAAACAAAGCTCCCCCAGGTAGCCTCTAGCAGGGCTGTAGGGGCAAGTGCTGCTTACACAGACACAGCTACAGACAAAGCTACCCCAGGTAGCCTCTGGCTGGGCTGCTAGGGGCAAGTGCTGTTACACACAGACACAGACAAAGCTACCCCAGGTAGCCTCTACCAGGGCTGTAGGGGCAAGTGCTGTTACACACAAAGCTACCCCAGGCAGCCTATAGCAGGGCTGTAGGGGAAAATGCTGTTACACACAGACACAGACAAAGCTCCCCCAGGTAGCCTCCGGCTGGGCTGTAGGGGCAAGTGCTGTTACACACAAAGCTCCCCCAGGTAGCCTCTAGCAGGGCTGTAGGGGCAAGTGCTGTTACACACAGACACAGACAAAGCTGCCCCAGGTAGCCTCTAGCAGGGCTGTAGGGGCAAGTGCTGCTACACACAAAGCTCCCCCAGGTAGCCTCTAGCAGGGCTGTAGGGGCAAGTGCTGCTACACACAGACACAGCTACAGACAAAGCTACCCCAGGTAGCCTCTGGCTGGGCTGCAGGGGCAAGTGCTGTTACACACAGACACAGACAAAGCTACCCCAGGTAGCCTCTACCAGGGCTGTAGGGGCAAGTGCTGTTACACACAGACACAGACAAAGCTCCCCCAGGTAGCCTCCGGCTGGGCTGTAGGGGCAAGTGCTGTTACACACAAAGCTCCCCCAGGTAGCCTATAGCAGGGCTGTAGGGCAAGTGCTGTTACACACAGACAAAGCTACCCCAGGTAGCCTCTAGCAGGGCTGAAGGGCAAGTGCTGTTACACACAGACACAGACAAAGCCCCCCCAGGTAACCTCTAGCAGGGCTGTAGGGGCAAGTGCTGTGACACACAGACACAGACAAAGCTACCCCAGGTAGCCTCTGGCAGGGCTGTAGGGGCAAGTGCTGTGACACACAGACACAGACAAAGCCCCCCCAGGTAGCCTCTGGCAGGGCTGTAGGGGCAAGTGCTGTTACACAGACAAAGCTCCCCCAGGTAGCCTCTAGCAGGGCTGTAGGGGCAAGTGCTATTACACAGACAAAGCTCCCCCAGGTAGCCTCTGGCTGGGCTGCAGGGGCAAGTGCTGTTACACACAGACACAGACAAAGCCCCCCCAGGCAGCCTCTAGCAGGGGATGTCAGGAGAAGTGCTGTGAGGAGGGAGGAGGAGGGGGAGACACCCTTAGGGCAGGGTCGAGTTAGCGGGGAACGAGCGACCTTTACACACAGAGACACACACAGTCACACACACACACAAACAAAAGATCCCCCATATAGCCTTAACAGACTGTAGGGGCAAGTGCTGTTAGCGAGCACCTATGAAGGCCGGAACGGTACACGAGGGGGTGGGTGGCCAGCACCACGCCCGACCGCCTTTGTCTCCCTAGTGGCGATGTTTACTACACACCGCTACACCAGATACTCATTTGAGGCTGAGTCGACCTAGGGGAGGCCCGGGACCGGTTCAGATAATCGTCACTGGTGTTGGCCGTGAGCGGGAATCGAACTCGGGTCGCCAGGTTCATAGCGCAGCGTAGCGCTAACCGCTACACACACAGACACACACAGACACACACATAGACACACACACACAGACACACACACAGACACACACATAGACACACATACACAGACACAACACAGACACACACATAGACCCACACACAGACACACACAGAAACACACATAGACACACAGACACACACACAGACACACACACACAGACACACAGACACACACACACAGATCCACACACAGACACACACATAGACACACACACAGACACACACACAGACACACACATAGACACACACACAGATCCACACACAGACACACACATAGACACACACACAGACGTACACACAGACACACACATAGACCCACACACAGACACACACAGAAACACACAGACACACAGAAACACACACAGACACACACACAGACACACAGACACACACAGATCCACACACAGACACACACATAGACACACACACAGACACACACACAGACACACACATAGACACACACACAGATCCACACACAGACACACACATAGACACACACACAGACACACACACAGACACACACATAGACACACACACAGATCCACACACAGACACACACATAGACACACACACAGACACACACACAGTGCGCTAACCACTGCGCCACCGCTCCTGACGAACCAACGGTGCCACCCAGCGTTTTTTTTATTATTTGTTGTTCCAAATGATCTTCAGATAAATATTCGATAAGGGAGGTTACTACAAGTTACCCTTTTGCACTTTGTCACTGACACACACCCACTCACTCACACACTCACCCACTCATCCACCCACTCACACACTCACCCACTCACTCACACACTCACCCACTCATCCACCCACTCACCCACTCACTCACACACTCACCCACTCACTCACCTACCCACCCACTCACCCACCCACTCACCCACCCACTCACTCACCCACCCACTCACCCACTCACTCACCCACCCACTCACCCACCCACTCACTCACTCACCCACTCACCCACTCACTCACTCACCCACTCACTCACCCACTCACCCACCCACTCACCCACTCACTCACCCACCCACTCACCCACCCACTCACCCACCCACTCACCCACTCATCCACCCACTCACCCACTCACACACTCACCCACTCACTCACCCACCCACTCACACACCCACTCACTCACTCACCCACTCACTCATCCACCCATCCACTCACTCACTCAACCCACTCACCCACTCACTCACCACCCACTCACCCACCACCACTCACTCACCCACCACACACTCACTCACTCACCTCACCCACTCACCCCACCCCACTCACCCACTCCACTCACTCACCCCTCACTCACTCACTCACCCACCACTCCCCCCCACACTCACTCCACTTCATCGGCCCCCACCACCCACTCACTCACCACCACTCACCCCTCACTCACCCACTCACCCACCACTCACTCACCCACTCACCCACCCACCTCACTCACCCAACCTACTCACTCACTCACTCACCCACTCACTCACCCACTCACTCACCCACCCAGCTCACCCACTCACTCACTCACTCACCCACTCACCCAACCACTCACCACCCACTCACTCACCCATCACTCACCCACTCACCACTCACTCACCCACCCACTCATCCCCCCACTCACCCATTCACTCACACACTCACCCACTCACTCACCCACTCACCCACCCACTCACTCACCACCCTACTCACTCACTCACTCACCCACTCACTCACCCACTCACTCACCCACCCACTCACCCACTCACTCACTCACTCACCCACTCACCCAACCACTCACCCACCACCCACTCACTCACCCACTCACCCACCCACTCACCACCCACCCTCACCCACCCACTCACTCACCCACCCACCCACTCACTCACTCACTCACCCACCCACTCACCTCACTCACCCACTCACTCACCTCACTCACCCACTCATCCCACTCACCCACCCACCCACGCACCCACTCACTCACCCACTCACTCACCCACCCACCCTACTCACCCACCCACCCACTACTCACCCACCCACCCATCACTCACCCACTCATCCACCCATCACTCACCCCCTCACTCACCCACTCACTCACCCACTCACCCACTCACTCACCCACCCCACTCATCCCCCCACTCACCCATTCACTCACACACTCACCCACTCACTCACCACTCACCCACCCACTCACTCACCCACCTACTCACTCACTCACTCACCCACTCACTCACCCACTCACTCACCCACCACTCACCCACTCACTCACTCACTCACCCACTCACCAACCACTCACCCACCCCCCCACTCCCTCACCACTCACCCACCCACTCACCCACCCACCCACTCACCCACCCACTCACTCACCCACCCACCCACTCACCCACCCACTCACTCACTCACCCACTCACTCACCCACTCACCCACTCACTCACTCACCCACCCACCCACTCACCCACCCACCCACCCACTCACCCACTCACTCACCCACTCACTCACCCACCCACCCACTCACCCACCCACCCACTTACTCACCCACCACCCACTCACTCACCCACTCACCCACCCACTCACCCACTCACTCACCCATTCACTCACTCACCCACCCACTCACTCATCCACCCACTCACCCACTCACTCACCCACTCACTCACCCACCCAACTCACCTCACCCACCCACCCACTCACCCACTCACTCACCCACACACTCCACTCACTCACCCACTCACTCACTCACCCACCCACTCACCCACTCACCCACCCACTCACCAACCCACCCACTCACCCACTCACCCACTCACTCACTCACCCACTCACTCACCCACTCACCCACCCACTCACCCACCCACCCACTCACTCACCCACTCACTCACTCACCCACTCACCCACCCACTCACCCACCCACCCACTCACCCACTCACTCACCCACTCACCAACCCACTCACCCACTCACTCACCCACTCACCAACCCACTCACTCACCCACCCACTCACCAACCCACTCAACCACCCACTCACTCACCCACTCACTCACCCACTCACCCACTCACTCACCCACCCACGCAATAATTGTGTTTATGTAACTGGATGGACTTTGCCCACAACCACCATCAAAATGTGGAATTTCCACCGCATTCAACCCCAGAGTGAGGTCTGGTGTCTTCCGGAAGCGAAAGGCGTCTTCCGGAAGTCTTAGACATCTTCCGGAAGACAAAGAGATCTTCCGGAAAACAAAGTCCTCTTCCGGAAGGCAAAGACATCTTCCGGATGACGAAGATAACTTCCGGAAGACCATGACATCATCCGGAAGATGAAGACGTCTTCCGGAAGATGAAGACGTCTTCCGGAAGATAAAGACGTCTTCCGGAAGATGAATAGCAGCTGCAATGGTAGGTTTAAGCTGTTCACATTGCGATTGATTGTTAATCACTATTATCGATTAACTATCACTAACTACTAACTATCACTAACTACTAACTATCACTAACTACTAACTATCACTAACTACCACCTCGCCTGCAGCAGCGGGCACACCGCGTGAAGCGATTGCGGCTACGCATAGAGATACATAGAGATACATAGAGACTCATAGAGATACATAGAGACTCATAGAGATGCATAGAGACCCATAGAGATACATGGACATACATAGAGATACATAGAGATACATAGAGACTCATAGAGATACATAGAGATACATAGAGACCCATAGAGACTCATAGAGATACATAGATACTCATAGAGATACATAGAGATACATAGAGACACATAGAGATACATAGAGACACAGAGACTCATAGAGATACATAGAGATGCATAGAGACCCATAGAGATACATAGAGACTCATAGAGACTCATAGAGATACATAGAGACACATAGAGACTCATAGAGATACATAGAGACTTATAGAGATACATAGAGACCCATAGAGATACATAGAGACCCATAGAGATACATAGAGATACATAGAGACTCATAGAGACTCATAGAGATACATAGAGATACATAGAGACTCATAGAGATACATAGAGACACATAGAGATACATAGAGACACATAGAGATACATAGAGACACATAGAGACTCAGAGATACATAGTGACTCATAGAGATACATAGAGACTCATAGAGATACATAGAGATACATAAAGACTCAGAGATACATAGAGACACAGAGATACATAGAGACTCATAGAGATACATAGAGACTCATAGAGATACATAGAGACTCATAGAGATACATAGAGACCCATAGAGATACATAGAGACTCATAGAGATACATAGAGACTCATAGAGATACATAGAGACTCATAGAGATACATAGAGACTCAGAGATATATAGAGACTCATAGAGATATATAGAGACTCATAGAGATACATAGAGACCCATAGAGATACATAGAGACTCATAGAGATACATAGAGACTCATAGAGATACATAGAGATACATAAAGACTCATAGAGATACATAGAGACACATAGAGATACATAGAGACTCATAGAGATACATAGAGATACATAGAGATACATAGAGACACAGAGACTCATAGAGATACATAGAGATACATAGAGACCCATAGAGATACATAGAGACTCATAGAGACTCATAGAGATACATAGAGACACATAGAGACTCATAGAGATACATAGAGACTCATAGAGATACATAGAGACACATAGAGACACATAGAGACTCATAGAGATACATAGAGACTCATAGAGATACATAGAGACCCATAGAGATACATAGAGATACATAGAGATACATAGAGACACATAGAGACACATAGAGATACATAGAGATACATAGAGACTCATAGAGATACATAGAGACACATAGAGATACATAGAGATACATAGAGACACATAGAGACCCATAGAGACACATAGAGATACATAGAGACACATAGAGATACATAGAGACACATAGAGACTCATAGAGATACATAGAGACCCATAGAGACTCATAGAGATACATAGAGATACATAGAGACTCATAGAGATACATAGAGACTCATAGAGATACATAGAGATACGTAGAGATATGTAGAGATACATAGAGACACATAGAGACTCATAGAGATACATAGAGACTCATAGAGATACATAGAGACTCATAGAGATACATAGAGACTCATAGAGATACATAGAGATGCATAGAGACTCATAGAGATACATAGAGATACATAGAGACCCATAGAGATACATAGAGATGCATAGAGACTCAGAGATACATAGAGATACATAGAGATACATAGAGACTCATAGAGATGCATAGAGATACATAGAGACCCATAGAGATACATAGAGATACAGAGACCCATAGAGATACATAGAGACTCATAGAGATACATAGAGACCCATAGAGATACATAGAGACACATAGAGACTCATAGAGATACATAGAGACTCATAGAGATACATAGAGACCCATAGAGATACATAGAGATACATAGAGACCCATAGAGACTCATAGAGACTCATAGAGATACATAGAGATACATAGAGACTCATAGAGATACATAGAGATACATAGAGACTCATAGAGATACATAGAGACACATAGAGATACATAGAGACCCATAGAGATACATAGAGATACATAGAGACCCATAGAGATACATAGAGATACATAGAGACCCATAGAGACACATAGAGATACATAGAGATACATAGAGACTCATAGAGATACATAGAGATACATAGAGATGCATAGAGACTCATAGAGATACATAGAGATACATAGAGATAATAGAGACTCATAGAGATACATAGAGATACACAGATACACATAGAGATACATAGAGATACATAGAGATAATAGAGACTCAGAGATACATAGAGATACATAGAGGACTCATATAGATACATAGAGATACATAGAGATGCATAGAGAATCATAGACATACGTAGAGATACATAGAGATACATAGAGACACATAGAGATACATAGAGACACATAGAGATACATAGAGATACATAGAGATACATAGAGATACATAGAGACACATAGAGACTCATAGAGATACATAGAGACTCATAGAGATACATAGAGACTCATAGAGACACATAGAGACACATAGAGATACATAGAGACCCATAGAGACTCATAGAGATACATAGAGACTCATAGAGATACATAGAGATACATAGAGATACATAGAGACCCATAGAGATACATAGAGACACATAGAGATACATAGAGACCCATAGAGATACATAGAGATACATAGAGACTCATAGAGATACATAGAGACTCATAGAGATACATAGAGACACAGAGACTCATAGAGATACATAGAGATACATAGAGACTCATAGAGATACATAGAGACACAGAGATACATAGAGACCCATAGAGATACATAGAGACTCATAGAGATACATAGAGAATCATAGAGACCCATAGAGATACATAGAGACTCATAGAGATATATTGAGACTCATAGAGATACATAGAGACTCATAGAGATACATAGAGATACATAGAGACACATAGAGACTCATAGAGATACATAGAGATACATAGAGACTCATAGAGACACATAGAGACTCATAGAGATGCATAGAGACTCATAGAGATACATAGAGACTCATAGAGATACATAGAGACACATAGAGATACATAGAGACACATAGAGACTCATAGAGATACATAGAGACACATAGAGATACATAGAGATTCATAGAGACTCATAGAGACCCATAGAGATACATAGAGACCCATAGAGATACATAGAGACTCATAGAGATACATAGAGATACATAGAGACTCATAGAGATACATAGAGATACATAGAGACTCGTAGAGATACATAGAGACACATAGAGATACATAGAGACCCATAGAGATACATAGAGACTCATAGAGATACATAGAGATACATAGAGACTCATAGAGACTCATAGAGATACATAGAGACCCATAGAGATACATAGAGATACATAGAGACTCATAGAGACTCATAGAGACACATAGAGACTCATAGAGATACATAGAGACTCATAGAGACACATAGAGACTCATAGAGATACATAGAGACTCATAGAGATACATAGAGACTCATAGAGATACATAGAGACACATAGAGACTCATAGAGATACATAGAGATACATAGAGATACATTGAGAATCATAGAGACCCATAGAGACACATAGAGACCCATAGAGATACATAGAGAATCATAGAGATACATAGAGATACATAGAGACTCATAGAGACTCATAGAGA